GGTCAGGGCCCGGGCTTTGAAGTCAGGAGCAGGACACCGTTAGAGCCATTTGTGTCCAGCCACCGGCTCCCACGCGGCATCACCATCCCCTGCCAGCGGCTCCCAGCGGGATGGGGATGGAGGAGCAAAGCCCCAAAACCAGATGGATGCCACCAGGCTGGCTCTGCTTGGCCCGAGTGTGTTGCAAGCTGGGCCCTTTGGGTGAAGAATGAGGAAGCCGCTTAATTGGAGTTTTATCAGCAGAAGTTCACAGCTCCCATCATGGCATCAAACGGCCCTTGGGCTTTCAACTCCCCTCCACCAAACAAATTGTGGGAAGGAGGATGAGGAGCACATGAAAGTGGCCACATTCAAATGGCATCAGCAAAGAGCTGGCGGGCTGACAAAGTCCCCCCTGGCACAGCCCCCAGCCCAAGGAACCAGGGAGGGAATTATCAAATCCCAAGGAATGCAGGAAGGAGCACGAGCGGCTCCGCACACATGCACTGGCACGGGCTGAGGGCTTCCCAAACCAACGGAAGCTGGAGGAGCACAGCCAGAAAAGCGAGTATGGCAACGTGTCCCAGAAGAGCTCCCGAGGAGGAAGGATGATCCTGGCAGCTGGCAGGGTATAGGTGACCCCCTTCCTCGTGCTGAGCTGCAGAAAAACGCTGACAGAGTGTGGCCCGGGGACGAAGCCACATCGCAGCAGCAGCGATGGTTTACAACAAAAAACTCTTGCCAGGTTAAGACTAATTGCATCTAAAAACAGAAATGCAAGACAAGGGCTTTAACACAACACTCAGGGTAATAGATCCGCTCTCACTGCATCCCACTGCCAAAAAGCGTTGGATTGGATTACGGATGTTATTACATCAAAAATGGATTGAAGGGCTTAAGGACTCACAATAAACAGCAAATGTCTCGGATTTATGAGGAAGCATCTACTAGGACCTTGCTTTTTCTTCAGCATTGTCATCAAACAAGGGCTCTCTGCTTTAAAGAGGCTCATGGGACAGGTTGGCCAGTGAGGAAGAACACCTGGAAGAACACCTCAGCACCACCACCACATCCACAAACAGCTGCCTGGAGTGCACCCTGAGGCTGAGCGAGGTTTGCCTGGGGTCTCCACACCCCACTTAACACAGAAGGGGCTGCCAGGACCACCACCAGCCCCAAAAACCAGAGAAAGAGCTGGAAACTATGAGAGCCCATCCAGTTCATCCCCTGCCATGAGCAGGGACACCTTCCACTAAACCAGGTTGCTCCAAACCATATCCAACCTGGCCTTGAACACTTCCAGGGATGGGACATTCCAGGGATGGACTAGGTGATATTTAACAGTTCCTTCTAACTCAAACTATTCTTTGATTCTCTGATCCAGAGCTCTGGGATAGCAGGGAGCCACTCTGGGAGCTCCTCCTCATGTCACCCTGCTGCCAGGACACTGGGATTAATGGATCTCTATCCAGGCACCTCATTACCAGAGATAGTAAAACTGGAGCAAGTTCAAAGAGGAGCAGCAAACGCAATTAGGAGCTGGAGTGAATTAGGAGGGGAGGTGGAGGGAGTTGAACCAGCAGGGCTGGATAAGCCATGGTGGGACTGGAGCTGCCCACGACATCCCAGGAGTGCGGGCACCAGGCAGGGGGAAGGCTACTCCATTGGGAAGCATTTTGAAGGGAGGGCACAGGACACTGGGGACAGGGAATCACACCCAGACACCAAAGGCAAGCAGGGAAACATCCAGGAGACCCAGGGATGGAAGTAACGACAGCACATCATGATATAAAACACAAAATTCCCAGATTCTCATCTCCTTCATCCTCTCAGCACTTCATCCTGGGGATGGTGTCCACGTCCTGCTGGAGTCCCACGTGCCCCCCCAGCCTCTGTCTCCAGTGTAGACCTGCAGGCAGATGCTGCTGCATCTTGTTCATTATGGAAAGCCTCAGGAATAAGCATCACCTTTTTTATCCACCCCCAGGAGCAAAGATGCTTTTAATGGAAGCCGGGAGCTGGTGTGGAGGGGGTCGGTGTGAGGCTCCAGAGAGGACGGGGACAGGGAACAGCAGCTTTCAAAAGCCTTTTCATTGCTAAGCCGAGGGCTGGGGCCGTGTCCCTCCATGATAAAAGTGTCCCTAAACAAGGCTTGGCATATCCAAAGCGATGGCAAGGAGGGGTCCTGAATAGGAGGGACCCTGGGAAGCCCCCTGGCTCCGGTGAGCAGGTTTTCCAACTGCTGGAGAAGGTGGGGGATGAGTGGCACACGCCCTTGTTCCCCTCAGCTCCAGCGTTGCTTCCCCAGCTTAGAAATGAAAAGGGAGGAAAAAAAACCTTTTGTGTGTCCAGGCAAAGCTTGGGGAAAGGGAGGGAAGAAAAATTTGGGGGGGGAAAAAGACAACATGTGGGTGGTCTGCTCAGGAGACTTTTGACTTTGTTTTTTTGGCTATTTTATTTCTTGGCAGAAAGAACTCCTGGGGCTGCTCAGCAGAGGGTATGGCCAGATCACAGGAGCATCCTCAGCCCACCCAGGGGCCAAAGTTCAGCTGGCAGCTCCCAGCTCCGAGGGGTTTCGCATCAAAGCTTGGAGGAGTCAAGAGAAATTAAAGTCAGAAACGGTCCAAGGCAGGGGCAGAGGGCACTGCCGGCCCCCTGAGGAGAGGAGGGGCATCCCACAGGGAAGCTCCAAGCACCCTGCTTCCTGCATCCCTATCCCTATGCAGCCTGAAACTGGGAACAAGAGGATAAATAGGATTTTATATTTAAAAATGAGTTTAAAAGGCTCAGCCCAACATCCAATGGGACACACAGCCGGGGATTTCCCAACCTGGGCTATGCTGTCTTTGCAAAATCCTGGCTGCTCGTCCCATCGGATCCGAAGCGAGCGGGAGCCGGTCACCTGCAGTGACCCAGGTGTGCTGGCAGCCTTGCAGGGGAGCTGGCATCGGCTCAAAGCTGCAGGGGCCCCGCGGGAGCCGCGTTTGGAGTCGGCAATGCACCGGCGGCCGCTTGTGAAAGCACCTCCCAAAGCTCCGGGAGGTTGATTTTCACTTCAGTTTTCGTGTGAAATGCAAAACAGCTCCTTAAAATTTGGGTAATTCAGAGGCTGGTAAATCCTTCTGCCTCCACCTTCCTGATGGACTTGGTTACCATAGGAGGGATCCCATATTTCTTCTTTTCTGTGCTTTGTTCACCTCCTGAGCTCGTTTTGGGGAATCTCTTTGTAGCCTGAGAGGACTCTTTGCAGCCTGAGAGTCCCATGGGCTGTAGCTCAGAGGACCCCAATTTCAGCCCTCATTAGCTTGATGACCATGTCAGTGCTTGAACTTGACCCCCCAAACACAGAGGAGCCACTGACCAAGTGCTTCAAGATGCTTGGCTGACCCAAACCTGCCACTTTGGCCTCTCTTCCACGTTTTTGCCCACTGCAGGCAAAGCTTATATTCAATCAAGCTTTCCATCAGCTGAAGGATGGCAGAAGGGCTGAACTTTGCCATCCCAGAGCTACCAGAATGGTGCAGCTGTGGTAAGGGAGATGGGAGCCTACATGGGAGTTGTGCCAGGGGTTTTGGCATCCCCATCTGCAGCATCTAGGCTGGAACCAGGGTGTCCTGCCCACACTGGCTTCAAAGCTGATGCCTTTCAAGTGACATAGGACAGACATCACCATGTCTGGACAGTGACGGTGACCATTGCTCTGGAAGAGTCTGGCCCTGCCACAGTGACTCAGCCCTGCAGAGCCCATGGTCACTGCCAGCACTGAGCCAAGCTGGCTCTGCAGTTTGTGGTGCCAGGTCGTCCCTGTTGTCACCCCTCCTGTTAGGGAGACTTCCCTGGCTGACCATCCAGGAGCCACTTTGGCATCTCTATGGCCACACAGGTAACAGAGCCCCCCACGAGCCCCTGTCACTACCCAGCAAAATTTGCCATGACAGAAGTGATGAAAGCGTAAGGCTGACCTGCCAGAGCTGGGCCCGGCTGCTTCCTCTGCATCAGGTTTATTCCAAATTATTCTGCAGCAGGACTCCAAGAGCCCCAGCCAGGTGCGCTGGGGACATCCAGACCAGCAGCCTCACCACAGCACCATGCTACAACACAGCCCCCCTGTCTCCACTGCCTGCCATGGCCTTGCTGCCCCCTCCCAAAGATTCCAGGCTAAAAATACCCTGCTTCCAGCCAGGAACACACAGCTCCCACAGCCAGGAGCTCGCTCCCACATGGGCAGTGACCCCTGTGCCAGCCGCTCGCTGCAGAGCCCACGGCACTCAGCGAGGGGAGCTGAGCCGTGGCCACCGTGCCCTTTGCAGTGCAGCCAGCCAGGCGGGGACAGCCAGGCTGAGGAGGAGGGGAGGGGACAAAGAGAGAGCTGGCAGCACTGCCCAGGCATGGCTGAGCTCCCCCTCCATCCACACCAGAGCAGGCACAAGGGGATACATTTCTGTGCAGCAATCCCCTGCATGCACAGACCACAGGCTCCAAGAAAATTCCAGCCTCCTCTCTCTCCCCTCCTTAAAATGCCATGGTGCACCAAGACACAAACAGAACAAGCCAGCGTGCAGAATTTTTTAGCTACTTCCATCATATCACACACTGGACACCACCAGCACTTTCCCGTGCTGGGGCTGCTCTTGGAAGCAACACCCAGGAGTAAGGACAAGCATCACCATTCCTCTTTCTTGCCAGCCCCAAGGCAAAACCCTGCAACACTTTCAGCAAAGATGGCAGCAAAAAATAGGCTCCAGGCGTGACAGTGCTCCAGGGCTGACCCCAGATGGGGATGTGCTCCTGCTCCCAGCCGTGAGCAGGGCAGGGGACACAGCACAGCAGCCAGATAGGGACTGGTGACCCACTCGGCCAGTGACACATTCCTCCCCCTGCTCCCATCCAGCGGGACATATTTTCCATCCGTGTCAGCTCTCTGCACCGGCCAAGTCACACACAAGCGCCTGGTGACACTCTCCAGGCGCCCGAGCCCTCCCAAGCCAGGGCTGGCAGCAAGGAAGAGGAGGGCGACTCACATGTGATGAAGTAATCCTGCTGCCGCTTGAATTCCAGGCCCATGTAGTTGGGGCTGAACTCCTGGAACTTGATGGTGAAGCGGATCTCCTGCTCGGGCCGGTTGCATGTCACCAGCACGTTGGGGTCCATGACGGTGCTGCAGGCGTCCGCCTGCTCCTTCCTCACCAGGTACAGCTTGTAGTACTCGTAAGGCTTGGATGGCTCCGCTTTGGGGCAGATAATGTCCAGTTTATCCCCAATCTCTGGGTAGATGACCAGCCCCTTCCCAGTCATGAACCTGGAAGAGAGAAGGGTAAGAGGTTACCACGTGCTGGAGCAGAGGCCACACCAGCCCGGCCCACCCCACTCTGACGCCATTTTTGTGCTTCAGCTCTGCTGCTCCCCCTCTGTTAGATGGGTTTTGACACCAAAACCAAGTTCTCCTCTTCCCTCACCATCCCGGCCTGTGCATGGAGCCAGTAGAGGCTCCTGCTGACAAAATCAGGGCTGGCTTGGGTCAGTCCCACTCGCCAGCCGTGATAAGGGTGGGTCACCTTCCCAGCCCCAAGCCTGGCATCCAACTGGGAATGAGTCTTTCCACAAAGGGCTGGGAGACGCCGCAGCTCTGCCCGACGGCCAGGCAAGGAGCTTCCTGCAGGGACAGGCAATAATTAGGCATAGGGAGAAGTCCTGACAATGGGGTGAAGGGAGGGATCCCGTCCACGCCCTTGCTCCCTGAGGAATTCCTGTCCTTAAATGGAAGGGAAGGAAGCATCCTGCAGGACAACTTCTACTGAGCCAGGCTCAACAGCATGCCCAGGAGCGTGGGAGGACCGGATGGAGAGGAGCAAGGAAGGAGGAAAGCTATTCGGGGCTGGAAGGCAGGGCATTGGGAAGGGTAGGAAGGCAAGATGCTGATAATTAGCGTTCGGATCTCGTTATGGTGGGGCAAGGCACTGATTAAGTTTTTTTCAGCGTGAAGGAGAGGATTAGGGCAGCAAGGAGGGAAGCAGCAGATCATCTACTTTGATGTAGGCAACTAAATGCGTTCCTGATGGGAGATAAGGTGGGAATGGATTTTCCTGCAGAGTTATCTCTGCTGCAACTCCCTCACGTAATCTGGGCACGGGAAAATGCAAAGTGAGCACTTTGCCAAGGCTGCACGGCCATGCTTCCCCTTCTGCTGTCGGACACAGCCCATCCCTGTGCCAGCCCACCCCAGAGATTGGATGGGGCCAGGATACCTTCTCCTCCAGCCAGCTGCTCCGGCTGGAGCTGCAGGCTCCATGCAAGGAAGATCAAACACACAAGACCAACCTGCTCCGTGGCTCCATGCAAGTCTTAGCAAGAAGCCACAGAGCTGGAACCAGCACCAGGCCTTTGGCTGCAGGAGCCTAGCAGATCCACAGGCTGGGCTGGAGCAGGCAGGCAGAGCCAAAGCCCACGCACCCCTAAGTGCCCTTGGCACAGGCTCTGGAGCTCGGTGCCAGCTGTAGCAGCAGGGCAGACACGCAGACATCATCTGCACCTCACTTGCAGCTTGCCAGGTCAGAAGAGCATCCCAGGCAACCAGAGCACGGCACAGGGATGGCGGGCACAGCCCCATCAAGGAGCTGGGTTTAGAGGGGTTATGAGTCCATCCTCCCTGCCCAGCTGCAGCTCCACCACATCAGCTCTAGTAGTACCCAAAGCAGCACAACGGGGCAGTTGGGATCATCCCAACCCCAGCACCTTGGCCACGTGAGGCTGCAGGGAGTTTTGTACAAGTCACAATTCAGAGAGAAGGTGATCAGGAGACAGTGAAACTTGGCCCCTGGAGGGTCTTTAGGGACACAGGTGGGATGCAGAGCCTGACTCCATCCCAGCACTGCTGCCAGGTGAGCCATGCTTTGCTTCACACTACCAAGTAGGTCACCTGGCCAGTGGCCAGCACGCCCTTCCAGAGGCTTGGGAGCGATAAAGGCTTCCCCACCCACGGCCGGAGCCCTGACGCAAGGCCGGAGCGGGAGCAGGAGGCGGGAGCAGCCCCTGTCCCTCCCTCCCTGCCCGGCCGCAGACACGCAGCGCAAGTGAACACTTGCACGGGTTCCCACCCCGAGAGGCAGCTGGATCCCACACTCCTTTCTCCACGGTTGGGCTGAGTCAGAGTCTTCCTGGCACAGGACTCTGGAGTGACTCAAGCTCCCTCCTCCAGCTCCTGCCAGCTCCCTCCTGCCCAGAAGATGCCAAACAGGAAGCCACAAACAAGTCAAGCAGATGTCTTGCACCGCCGGAGCAGGAGGAGAAGGCTCCTATCCACCCTCATCTCCATACCAGGAGGACCTATCACACCTCTGTGGCCAAAACCTTGGCCAACACCTGCAAACCAACCGGTCCCTGGGCCACCAGCCTGTTGGGATCAGGCCAAACAGATTTGTAAGCAGGGGAGGGGCCATGAAGCAACCGAGGGAGCTGAGAACCTCCCAGTACCACATCCTGCTGGCACCTCTTCATCTCAGGAACTTCAGGACCAAAGTCTACCTTAGGTTTATGTAAGGATAAAACAAGGAGGCAAATCCCCTCCACGAATGCTCAGTCTCAGCTCCAGAAGCACACAGCTGGGGTCTGGGAATTAGCTCAACAGCTTCCAGATCCACACAAACATGGAGCAAGACAGAGCCACTTCCCCGTGCATGGAGCTTTTGCGCTGTTCCCTCCAACCGCTGTTCCCCACCTGCACACAGACTGTTTTCCCTTTGTCCTCCAATTTTCCTGATTTTTTTTCTCCTCCATTTCTCCTCTTCTCCAACAGCAGGGCTGTTTGCAGATGCCAGCCTGGGCAGCACAGGCAGGGAGATAAACCTGAGGCATGCATCTCGAACCCCTCACACTGCCCTAACACCGCTCTTCCAGCTTTTCACCACACACAGAGACCTTTATTTTCCCCAAAAATTCTGCTTTGTCACAAGGACAGCTTGTGATGATCATCCTAGGGAAGACCAACAATAGCTCCCACTATGCCAGAGGCTGGTTCTCTGGGAAATTCTCCTTTAAAATACACAGTGAAAAGCAACATTTATCACAAGAAAAGGAGAGGGAAAAAACGTCCAAAAATTGTCACATGTTGCCTGAACAAAGGATTTCAGCCAATTCTTAAGACAAGGTATTTTAGTTCCAAGGGATGGTTGAAGACAAAAAGGAATTACACTCTTGACTTGTCTTCACAAGGACATGTCTTCAGATTTATCTTAACCCGGAGGAGTGAACAGAGCAGCTCCTAAATTAATAGGGAAATTCATCGTGCCCTCAGAGCACCCGCTGTAATTTCAGGGAGGGAAGGGGGAATCTGCTATTCCTCTAGAAAATACAGCCTGATTTCCCTGTTTTAAAGTGGGAAGATAAAAAAAAAAAAGAGATAAACTAAAACTTAGCTTAATCTTAAGGTTGAAACAACTCTCAGCCTTAAGAATCACTCTCCTCTTACCTTGTCCACCATGCCAGAGGAGGAGGACCATGGCTCCAGCCTTATTCCTGCCCCGTCCCTGAAGTGTCCAATGCAAGGCTGGACAGGGCTTGGAGCAAGCTGTCATAGTGGAATGTGTCCCTGTCCATGGCAGGGGGTGGCACTGGAAGATCTTTAAGGTCCCTTCTTTAAGAACGCAAACCATTTTGGAATCCTGCGATTGGCACCATCACCATTTCACAGGTAACATCCCAGCATCATTTTTCCTGGTGTCCAAGGGGGTGGGAATTATTAGCTACAGCCACTAAAGCTTAAAACAAGTATTTTTTTTTCCCAGCTGAGCAGGTGGAGAGGTCTGACAGCTTCATCCCTTAAAGATCCTGAGGTGATTTTTGGGTGGCATCCATGGCTGCCCACCTGCAGAGCCAGGGGACCATCCCAGCCAGGCATCCCCATCCCCAGCGCCATTCCAGGCCCCCAGCTCTCGGCCCCGCAGGTTCCTTGGGAGCGATCAGGTGGCAGCGTCCAATTTCCTCATTGTTTCAGGAGGTGTTTTCTGATGGGAAAGGTGAAAAGGGGATTTGTGAGCCTTGTAAACCGATTCCTCTGAGTTGGGTAAACAACGGGAGCTCTGTTGGCAGCAGGATGCCGGGATGCCGGAGCAGGGAGATGGGATTAAAGTGCAGCCTCTCCTGTGCCCTGAGTTGGGGGGCTGTTGGTGGGGCCCTCAATCCCTTGCAGAGCCCTCCTCACTTCCCCTTGGGGGTCCAAAATTCTGATGGAGGGACTGGGGACTACAGGTGGGACCTGCTGGAATTGCCATGGACTCAGCCAGGGCCCAGTGTGGCAGGCTTCCCAGAGAGGGTTTGCTGGGACAGGAGGAAGAACAAGCTAAGGAGGAAAACCAAGCAAGTTTGGCCAGAGCAAGACTGGGAGCCATACTGGGAATGATACCCCACTCCTCCACATCCTCCTCCCATATAGGCGCCTCTCCTCCATGTGGCACACATGGAAAGACATGGATGAGCCAACACATCCCCAGCAATCCTGCAGACACAAGGATCCTGCAGAAAAGTCATCTGGAACCTTAAAATCCAGCAGTCTTTCAGCTCTTCACTTGGGAAGATCAAAAAATGGCTTAAAAATACAATTTTTTAAAAGAATGGGTTGACACATTTTCCAACTGCTCTCCCCCTGGATCCAGGCATTCCTTGCGCCGCATCAACCACAAAATCTCCAAGGCAGCATCACCTTTCCCCACGTCCACAGCATACGATGCCCCTCACCTGATTTCAGGCTTGGCAGAAACAGAACAACATTTCCCAAGAACCTTCTCCTTGGAGAAGATGTTCTAAAGCTGACGCTGACATACATATAAGATGACATATGCTAAATGCTGTTTGCTTCAAAGAAATCCAAAAATAACTAGATCTTACATGGAGGACGTGTATGTCTGGCAGGGAAGGCTGACAGTGCCCAGCAGAGCGAGACCTGCAGGAGCTGGGAGGTTTTCCTGGTGTCTGGGCAGCTGAAGCCCCCATGGGCCCAGCTCTCCACACCAACAGAGCATGTGAGTCCTTCCAGATGGATCACAGCTCCCACCCACTGGGAATCTCCTCAAGGAAGGGATGGGAAAGGGCCAGATCCAGCAAAAAAGCCAAAGCTCCATGTTCAAACTGGGTGTGGGATCCTGCAAAACACTCCGAACCCTGCGATTTGCTGGTGCCCAGCCACACACCAATCTAATCCTGCCCACTCTGCCTCACTCATCCAAGCTTCCCTGGGACCCAGCAGCCATGCCCAGGCACTGGGGACTCTCTGCCAGAAGAATCAGTCCTGTCCCTGAGCTGTTTTCCAGACCCCGATGTCACAGAGACACATCACACTCCTGCCATTGGAGGGTCCCTGCACAGCTCGTCCAAAGCTCCCTTGGTGACACCCAGACACCTCTGCCCCTGCTTCAATCTGTATTTTCACCAAAAAAGCTAATTGAGAGGTTACTAGTAAAAACTGGAACCTAACTTAGGTGAAGTGGGATGTCACAGGTCAAACAGCATTACCAGACAGGGACAACCACATGGTCCTCAGGGAGTTTGAGAGGAGAATATCAGCCACCCCCTGTCACAGGGAGAGGTTCTCCTGCTGACACCAGGAGGTGTCAGTGAGACAGTGCAGCCCCCACCTCCCTCACTTCACCTCTCCAGAGCAGAGGACAATCAAACCACAGGAATTACACCTAATCCCAAAGGCCCACCTGATCCCAGCACACCACCAACATCCACAGCCCTTCCCCAGCGTGGTGCCAGTACACAGAGGCACAGCCCCTTTCTCCTATTTGACTCCCATTCAGCTCTTGGGAACAAAGATACTCCGTGGAAGGAAGTTAATTACAAGTGGAATGAAAAGGTTCCTCCTTCTGTATCTGTCGCCTTCTCACTCGTCCATCGCACTGCTCATCACCACAGAGGGTAAATAGGAGCACACGAACCCCCACGCTCTCAGATCCCACTCCTTTCATGTGCTCCTCTATTATTAGTCTCCTTTAGAACAGCCTGCCATCTTTTTTTCCCCCTGCTAATCTATGGATAATTATTTTCCTTGCCCTTCAGCAGCCCTCTTCTATTTCTGCTCTATCCTTTGGAGCTGAGGTGGCCACACAGAGCCAGCAATTCCAGGTATCTGAAAGCAGCTCATATCTCCTTCACTCCTTTGGTCTCTGCTGTTCAAGGAGATATTTTTCACTTTCCAGCTCCCCCAGCTCCTCACCATGCTGGGAGAGGGAACAGCCTCTGCTGAGCCCCTCCGGGGCCGGCCCGTCCAGTCCCCCTCCCAGATACACTCTATGGCCCTTTTTTTTTTCCTCATCTCGGGTTTAATGAGGCCCATTCAACCCTCCCAAAGACAAAAGGCCCTTCTCGTTTCCAAACGGATTTACACGACGCATCAGTGAGGCATAAACGGGTCTCCATGGCAACGCTCACCGACCCCCCCAACCCCCAGCTCTGGATGCCATTTTCCAACTCTGCTGCTCCCCAAAACCCTTTTGTTGCTTCCCTGCCAGCTGGGAGGCTCCTCACAAGCTGGTAACCCCCAACCCCACACCTCCAGGTACCAGGGGTGACATTTTTTGAGGTGAACTTACAAGACGCCCAAGCCAGTGTTGCCCTGGCACAGGTGCCCCAGAAAGCTCCACACTGTGACTGACTCCGGGTCACGGTCAAGCCAGGGTTGGGATTGAGAGGAATGGATGGAAACATCACATGCAGGGGAAAACAAACCCAAACTGCCCCTCTCTGCCCAAAAAGGGGGGTGATGCCCAAGGCAGCGTGGTCTGTCCATGCTCAAACACCAGCCCCAGTCACAGCGTGGCTCCCAGCACCTCTCCACAGGAAAACCGGTGGCTCTGGGGATTTCCATGGCTTTAGCACTCCAATGCTCTACACAAAGGTTTGGCAAACAGAGCCTCATGTCCAACATTGGACTGTAACTCTCCCCAAGCAGCCTCAAACACTGAAGGCTGAGAGAGCACCTTGCTTACCCTGAGCAGCCCTGGAAGCAGGGAAGGTGAGATTCAGGGAATGTGGGATGCGGAGAAGGTCTCACTGTAGCTCCCTGAACTTTGTTCACATGTTGTAATCACTGCCATAGCTCTGAAGACCAAGCCATTACCCAGCATCTGGGGGACACACCAGAGAGCCCACTTTTTCAGGAAAATACCCACCACTGCTGGGTTTCTCAAGCAGGAAGTCAGGAACAGGATCCTGGTTTCAACTGCAAACCTGCAGCTTGTGGACAGGTCTGCTTTCCCCTCCTGCAGTCCAGACCCCTTCTCCTACCACCAGCCAAGAGCAGAGGAGGGTTCCTGACATCAGGATGCTGGCAGAACAGGTCAGCAGGCTTCAGGAAAGCTGGCATGGATGCTGTGAGATGCCAGCCACACCTCAGCACCCACAGCCAGCGGCTGCCACCACAGCTGGTGACATCCCTGGCCCCAGTGACTCAACCCTCCTGTGGCACAGCAGGGCTGCAGGAAGGGCTTTCTCCCTCAGCTATCCCCATAATTACAGCATGGCCAGGGAGAATATCCAAGTGCCAGACTCCCCACCAGCCCCAAGGAGGGTGACAGATCACCACCACCAAAGGCAGCGCCCACAAAAGGAGAATGCTCTCCTTTGTCCCATTGCAGGCTCGGCCAGGATGTATCCTGATGCCAGTCCATCACTGCCAGGGCCAGCTGCTGACCACCCTCATGCCCCAAGGAGGAGGAAGAAGAGAAGGGGGAGGAGAGGGAAGGCTCCCAGCCCTCAGAGCAGCCAGGCTTGCCGGGAGCAGCCATGTGCTGCTCCATCCTCCCAAGTCCGCGCACACTCCATGCACCCGGGCGCTGCACCAGAAAGATCTCAATGCAAACCTAGTGAGGGGGGGAACAAAACCTGCTGCTAATTGAGGGATTTTGGAGTAGATTTAATTAGGGCCAGAGCACTGGCGCAGGCTGCTGCTGCCACCTGCAGCACTCTCCGCAGCCGCTGGCGTGGGCTCTGGGGACCCCAGGCTCCCGCCCACGCCTGCCTGGGGTCCAGACAGGGAATGAGGAACACCGGGAGTCCCGCAGGCTCACCCCCCTCACACACCCACCCCTCCAAACCCGTTATTTCCCAGCACAATAAGCACCTCCAGCAGCGACGGAACCAAGGGCTCGGCCAAAAAATAAAGAGGAAGAAAAGCCATATTTTCTCCCTGGAGTCGGACCGTCCCGATCTCCCCTCGGAGGAATCAAGAGGGGCCGAGTTATCTAATTAATGCTGGCAGAAGCGGGAGGCCGAGGGCTGGGGGGCGGCGGCGGCCCACAAAGGCGGCGTGGGGAGCGGTCTCCCCGCCGCCGCCGCCGGCATCCCCCGGCAATGGGGCCCCACGCTGGGAGTGAGGTAAGAGGGGATTCAAAGGGGGGTTTGTCAGGGGTTTTGTTTTTGGAAACGGGGGAGGGGAAGGGGACAGGGCTTGACAAGAGCTGACAGACAACTGAACAAAACCATAAGGGCCATGAATGGCAACACGGCGCTTTAATTGGCGTAGGAATGGAGAGAGAAGTGAGACAATGAGGCTGGGCGGCGGCGGCAGTGGGCACTCACCTTCTCCTACCCGCACCGCAATCCCTACCCCAACAGAGGTTGGCTGCTGGAGGCTGCGCCGTGACCCCCGTGCCGAAAAACACCACCTAAAACCCACAGGGAGGACATGGAGGCAGAAGAACAGAGCCCGGCACACGTCAGGCATCACAAAACCCTGACGGCACCAGGAGCGGCACAATCCCAGCCCCGGGATGCTGCAGGTATTAAATGATCCATCGGAAACAGCTCGTGTTCCCGCTCGGCTCGGTGTGTTTTCCGGCTTCGGTTTGGCCACTCGTGCCCTGGCTACAGCCCCGCTCATCCGGAGGACGGGGGCCGGGAGGGGGAGAGAGGGAGAGGCAGGTTAAAAGGGAACACGGTTGGATCAGCGGGGTTCCCACTCCTTCCCTGACCCCTCCGAAATAAAACGGAGGAGATTTCGTCTCCCGGTCCAAAGCAAAGAATTACTTTGGCAGGGGCTGCGGCGGCGGCCGGGCGCCCACTTGGAAGGGAAAGCAGCAGGAATATGCCCAAGGAACCCAAGACAAGCCCTCCCCGCCAAGCCCCGCTCATTGTCATGCAGATCAACCCCAGTCGGGACAGAA